ACATTGCTTTGTGTACTTGCGAACAACAATTTTTGTGTTTTAACATGTAAATTTGCTTTAATAAGTATGTGATTTAATTTATACTAATTAGGTAGGACATATTTTATATTTTATAATTTTTATTTAATTTATATTATTTTTTTTTGTAGATTTGCTTGATAAGAGCCAGTAATTGATGGTTGAAACGTTGTGAGATATTTTTACTGTGTAATGTGCCAGTTTAGTCGAATTGAATAAAATTAAGATTTATTATTTTTTAATCATCATTGGCAACTTCAATTTATTTAACGTGTTAATTGTAAACAATTACAACTTTCTATGTAAAATCTGAGATCTACAACATTCTATAAGCAACTATAAAGGCCATTTTACATTAGATTGCCAATATCCCGTCGCCAATCGTAAAGGTAACAAGTTACTAGTTGAAAAGTTATTTTTAGTTGCACTTGGCAGTTGCGGTTGTCAGAGGATTAATTTTTAATTTTTTGGCGACTGACAATTGTAATCAGACAAAGCACTTTTCAATTAAATAGATCCATCCTTCGTGATTGGCGGTGGAACATTTGTATTAAACGTTTTATTGATTTACACATTCACAGAATGCTCGATAAAATATTAATCAATCAAATTACATATATAATAGAGAATGTAAAAATTTATTATGAAGTACCTTCTTCCCAAGTAGCAAAGAAATATTTAAAAAATTTTTGAAACTCATTTTTTAAACAAATAATGACATGCAATTTAATTCGACCAAAAACTAACTATTCATTTATTCAAAATAATAATTAATTTAATTCGACCAAAAACTAACTATTCATTTGTTCAAAATAATAATTAATTTAATTCGATCAAAAACTAACTATTCATTTATTCAAAATAAATACACACTACGTTTCGACCAACATTGTGGTTCTTCTCAAGTGTTGTTCTTATATATTCAGCAATTACATTAATTAAAGATAGAAACATGAAAGTTCTCTTGTCATATCGACAGTCTGTTAGCTACTTAGCTATGTAGCTAACCAATTAAAATAAGTTTTAAACATTTTTTTTTAACATTTCTTTGTTACTTGGCTTATATTATAATAATTCCTTTAATTGTATTTGTTTTTTATGTGGTAAACATAGTTGTAAGGATAGTGGAGAAATATCATTACAGTAAAAACATTGATACAGTCATCGCATACTTCTACATGAAAAATATCTACAAAGTTTATTCCACACATAGGTGATATTATGAAACACAAAGCATATATGAACATTTTTCGTACGCGAGCAGTGATTTCTTTTTAGATATTTTTCATGCAGAAGTATGATGAATATATTGTATAATATATATATTTTTCATAAATTTACTAAAGAGTTGTAATTTTCTACAACTACATTACGTTTAGTGATATATTGTAGAAATTTGTAATTTTAAAAAAAATTCTACAACTTTTACAATATATTAAAAATGTTCACGAAAAATTGAAACTCCTAAAAATTTGTAAATATTTTTTACAACTGAGTACAACTTATTAGAACTTACCATAAATTTTTACCATTTTCATGAATTTGTAAAAAGTTGAGATTTGATGTTCAAAGTTTTAATTTTTTATAGAAGTCTGTAAATTATTGTAAAATTATTTCCACCAAGATGACTAAAGCACAATGTCTGATATCGACTAAATTTAAAATTTTCAGTATTATATATGCATAAATATCACGCCTTTATTTCTATTTTAAATAAATAATATATCCCTTCTTTCAGTTATTTGATGTTGAATCGATACTCAATTTCTATACTATAATGATGTTTTAATCTTTCAATTAAATAATTTATTTAAAAAATTTTAAAAAACAAGATTTTACAAATTTTGATTTTTTTGACATTTTAAAAGTACAAGAAATATATAATGTTGACATTCATGCATAAAATTTGTTACATGTAATGGTATAAATATCTAATACATAAGCTAATATTTATGTCGAAAATTTATACCTATGTAGTCACGTAACGGACTTTTGAGAAAATACGGAGGTCGAATATTCGATATAAACATAAAAAACGAATTAAACAGCGATATCTAAAATTTTGAAAAAATTAATTAACACTCCTAATAATTATAAGTTATAACTGTAGGATATTCGGGAAAAAGATATATATTTAGTTGTTTAAAAATACGTTTATTGTCACCAAGTCAGACTCGAGAGAGAGCCTCTCGACCGAGTGATTGTCATACGTATATGTATTTCAAAAGGAATGGTTCCTCGAATATCACCAATCATGCGAAGACACGAATTCGGCAAATTTCGGGGGCGACGAAAAAGATAAATACGTACACCGGACAAATACACAAAAGAATACAAAAACGATTCCTGACAATAACACTCGGCCACGATAACATGATCTCAACGATGAGTATAACGTCTCGTCAAATAAATGTCGACATAACTTATTATGAAAGTAAAAAACGCGTTTAGAAATGTGAGAAATCAAATGAATAAAATAGTCCTTTATCCGATAATAAAAAGTAAAAAGAAAGCAACACATAACATAACAATATACTCGACTTTGGAATTTTTTTAAGAAAATATTAGAAAGTGTATTATTAATTGTAATATTAATTATTTCTAAACATATTGTTTTTTTTTATAAAGAAACTTTTGGACTAATTGCGGATGTAAATTGACATTGTAAATATTAGTCCATAAATAAATAAGAAAAAACAAGTTAATAAAATTTAGACTTGGTAAAAAATTTTCTCCTTTTTCTAATGTGATTTATTTAATTGTTTATTATTTATTATATACATTTCGGTCTTTTTATCGGACCATCAGCAGCAGCAGCTCGAACAATATATAAGACAGTAAAAATATAAAAATGACAATTTACATCGTATAAAAATACATACATATGTAAATCAAGTTAAAGATTGCATACGCTCTTCTATGATCTCAGCAATTTATGACCATCTAAGTAACAAATGCGCGTTCTTTATTAACATCAAAATGACACGCGTTTACTACTTGATGAAAAATAATCGCAATAAAGCCTCCCCTCAGTTGCAGTCATCGAAAAAAATACACGGCAGTGATTGTTCGTAACTATTACACTACAAAAATTTTGGTTAGTTATCAAAGATGTTTAAGCGTAGATGTTTAAGATATTTTAGCAAAAACATTGATTTTTTTGTTTTATATGTGTTTTTAAGTAAAATAAGAAGAAAATCATTAATTTTTCAAAGAAAAAAACACGTTTTAAACTAGCAAAAAATATATTATATCGAAAAAAATATTCTGCTAAAATAATATTTATTTTATTATTTTTACTTCAATAAAACTACTGTATATATCGAAAAAAAATATTCTGCTAAAATAATATTTATTTTATTAGTTTTATTTCAGTAAAACTACTTTACTTTTGAACAATAGTTTAAAACTGTTTAAAACACAAAAACTATTTAAAACATAAATGTTTAAAGCAGTGTCCACTGTGTGAGACAATTTTCATACGATTTGGAAATGGCTACGTCTCAATTACATTTTTGCATTTTTTTATGCTTTTTATGAAACACCCCTATTATCTGAAAAACTAGAACCAATCTAGGAAAAGTCCCAATTCCATGTTCGGAATCAGTGACACAGTTATCCTAAAATCGACCTAATCTAATTGACATAATAAAACCAATGTCATACAGGATGTCCCATAGGAAATTGCTGAAACTAATCATCAGCTATCATTTTTTAATGGATCCAGTTATTGAGAAAACAAAAATTGTGTTGAAAATAGTCTGCAATTTTCAATAGATATAAATAAAATGTTTGTATACCAATTTATTTTATTTAAAAAAAGTAATGAAAAAATTAGTTTACATATGTGATTATCAGCATTTTTTCATTACTTTTTATCAATAAAATAAACTAATATACAAACATTTTATTTATATCCATTATAAACTGCAGACTTTCCTCTCTTTCCAAGTTTTGTTTTCTCAATAACTGCACGCATTTAAAAAATGACAGCTGATTAGTTTCAGCAATTTCTTATGAGACACCCTGTATAATATCCAAACAGTCGATGTATATACATGTATAAATCATCGCAGAACAGTGTTGAGCTTAGAAAAAAAATTATAATTGGAGGCGACTCGTCTTATCTATTAAAAGACATCAAGAGTCAGAACGCAACTGTCAGTTAATTAGAAAAAAATAACACATAATCGCATGATATTAATGGTGTGTAAATAAAAACGTAAGAACCTTCAACATTTTCGTACGTTGGAATGATTTCTTCATACAAACTTATCTCTACTAGCATAAAATATAATCACAAACTTGTCACCTTGAAAATTCAAGTATTTCTAGTAAAAAATTGAGATTTTCATTTTAAAAAATATCAAAGGTGACGTTTGCATGAGTATTACAAGCTTACAAGTTCATACAAATATCATATTGTCATACAATAAATCGCTAAAAATTCTTATATTAAACATTTTTTTCTAAAATCCATAATTTTCGAAATATTAAAGTATTTTGTTACTTTTTCTCCACTCTATATATAAATACGCATACATTGTTAACAAAAATGGATTATTGCACTACAGTAACAGTGTATTCCTGAGACTAAATCGAGTTAAAGTGTTCTATTTTTTCCTCTCGCTCGAAGAGTTATTGTGACATCATAAAAACTAAATATTTTTAAAAATATTGAAGAATGACGCAGCGAGGTATATTATTAATTAATATCATTTTTTTATAACAACCTCAATAATCTCTTTTTATAATAATAATAATCTCAATATTCACTTCAATTTAAACCTAACAATGTTTCTTAATATACATACAATTTTAACCTATATTTATTAATTTATATTAAATAATAACATAAACAATACTTATTCTTATATGATGTACTATATTTATATTTAGCATGTATATTAAGAAATATTGTAAAAATTTAATAATATATAAATTGTGAAATGTAAATCTATAAATAAATATTCATTTAATAAATTATAGAACTTCAAGCAGTTTCCTTGACATTCATCAAATTTATGATTGCCATCTCGTGATCTGTTGTAGTTTTGTTCCTTCCATTAGATATTGCAATCACATCTTCACAGGTCTAAAAAAAACAATGAACTCGCGATGAACTCTTTTTATTTCGTTGAATAAAATATATATTTTATAAAACTAAAAAGATCTATGGCAAATTAAGCACAACAATATGACGTCTTTGAGTATACATATATTGAGCATTATAAATGTTTGAACATGTAAAGTTGCGCATTTATTTCAAAATTCACTTAACGTCTCAAGCAGCAAACGTACGTCATTTTGACGAACGATGTCAATCGACATCAAAGTAACGTCATCTTGACGTTTAATGACGTCAGTTTGGTATTTGGGATATTTTGTGTAGATTATGTAGATAGTTTTTCATCAATATAATGTAATTTCATATTTTTAAATATCAATCAGTGTTTTGACAATTTATTTGAATGTTTTAAATATAACTAATGTAACTCAATTTTTAGGAATTGTTATATCGATACGTTTATTTCAACGTTAGAAAAAAAATAATAGCAAATTACCCATAGTTTCTTGTTGTAATTCTACCTTGTAGGAAGGATTGTCATACGCTGATGTTGTTTTACGAGATGATATGTCAGCCTTACTACTTGTTCGTCTTTTCATCAACATCATTAACAAAATTAAAGTCGATAGTATTGCCAAGGAAGCCACAATGGCCACTATCACCAAAGGGCCGTAATAATCTCCTTCATAAAGAGGAAATGATGCAATTTTTCCGGCTAAAAAAAAATATATATATATATATGATCCAGTTTGATTTACTGAGAACATATGTATATAAAAAAAAGATTTATAGAAAGATAAATAATGAACTACCCAAGTAGCAAACTGACGTCATTAAACGTCATTCTGATGTCTAATGACGTCATTTGGCATCAAAATGACGTATGCTTGCTACTTGGGTAATACTATTGTAGTATAGTATAGTATAACTGATAGTGTAAAAAAAGTTGTTAAAAAAAATGCAATTTGCAACTAGTTACATATTTTTAATGACTGTCGACCTTTCAGTCAACATACGTGTCTAATAGTATATTAGCTAACAAGTGCGGGGGATCATAAATCGGCCGAGAGTGCAGAAGTTTGGCGCACGAGGCGAACCCGAGTGTGACAATCCGCACGATCAGCCGATTTATGACCCGCACATGTTGGCTACGATATTTTGTGTGACCGGTGCGTGAAAAGAGAGCTCTTTCTAAAATCCCATTATGTGCGACTTTTTGCGCACCGGTTGCATAAAAGATATTTTCGAGATCTTTTTAAGATGTTTTTTAAATATATGTACATGTTATCTGTAAGATATAAGATTTTTTTATTGCGATCAAGTTTTCGTAATAAATCTCCCATTTTCATCATTTTCAATTTAGCTAAATAATGATTTAATAATGATTTAAATAAAAATGTATGACCAGTAAATTAATTTTTAGAAATATTATTTTAAATCGAACAAATAACATTCCAAAGTATCTTTTATGTAATTCAATTAAAAATAGTGAAAAAAGAATACTTTTTATAATATTTATATAAACATTTATAAACAACAGAAAAATAATAATAATAATAAGAGAAACATAATTTATATTATTTAACAAAAGTTATAAAAGAAATGTTTACCTTGTTGAGACACAGTGGGTGATAAGAAAACACCTGGTTTAGTGATAAAATCTTGCACGTTACTCTTTTTTATTCTTCCATTTGTTAAATATATTTCAAGCCATAGTCGATATCTAGTACCAGGTTTGAGATCACTGATGACGGTTTTGGCATCAGAATCTCTTTTAGCAATTTTGAAGACACTAGTGTCTTCTTTGCCACTATCACTTTGATAAATTGCACGATAGATGTTCACATATTTGTCCTCCGGATAAGGCACACCATTCCATAACACTTCCACGTTTGTTGATTTGATCGTCTTAATTTCAACTGTTACGTCGAAAGAGTACGGATCTGGTTCCATCAACGTAGCTACCTGAATCTGTTATAAATTATACTATTAATGATAATATTGTAATTATACTATATATTATGTATTTACTACTATGTATTACACTATTAGTGATATATGTATACAAGGTGTAACTAAACAAAGATATACGAAGTACACTATCTGGTGCAGAACAACAAATTAAATCAAAAAATCCTTTTTTTAATCCGCCATTTTGTAATCTGAGCTTTTTTGATTTTTAACGCTACAAATTGTTAAAGTTTGCCAATTAGCGCGTGGCTACAACGGAAAATAGCGTAGGCTCCGCTTTAGTAGGCGTTCCGCATGCGCTAATTGGCAAACTTTAACAATGTATAGCGTCAAAAATTAACCTTAGATTAAAAAATGGTTCAGAACTTTTCGATTTAGTTTGTCGTCCTGTACTTGATGGTGTTCTTCGTATACCTTTATTTAGTTACACCCTGTATATGGATATAAAATTATCAACATTTATATTTTTATAAATAAATACAAAATTACAAATATAAAATAATTTTATATGCAGGATCAAACTCTAAATTAAAGAAAAATAAGGAGAAAAGAGGGAGATTAAAAAAGGAAAAAATCAAAAGAAAAGGAAAAGAGAAAAAAGAAGAAAAAGAAGAGGAAAAGAAAGAAGAAAATAAAAAAAAAGAAGAAAATTAAGAAAAAGAAGAAGGGAAAAAGGAGAACATGAAGAAGAAGAAAAAGAGGAAGAGACGAAAGGAAGGAAGAAGAAAAGAAAAAGGAAGAGAAAAAATAAGAGAACAAGAAGAGAAAGAAAATGAAGAGGAAGAAATAATTTCAATAAGTAGTAAATATCTTACTGTTTTCTCGCTCATTAACTCCGTTAATTGTCCCGGAAATGGTATAAAGTAAATGCCGATTTCATACGTAGTTGATGGTTTCAAGTTCTCAATTACACAATTTGTTACAGCACGATGTATTAGTGGTGTCGTCGCATAAACTTTACCATCATATTCTTTATATCTCAATTGAACGCCATCTATGAATTGTAACTCATAATCTGTGAATTTTTTCCACATAACATTAATCCAAGTAGAGTTCGTTTCCATTATTCTAAGTTCAGCATCAATTAATATTTGCGGTGGCAAAGTTATCATTTCCGTATGTTTTTCTAACGTGCGTACGCTATAAATCTTGCTAGTTGGACTATTGGCTAAATCCTTCAATTTCACTGTGATCTTCATTTTATATTCAGTCATAGACTTTAAATCACCTAACTCAAATTCAAGTTGAGATGTTGCAATTAAATCATTAGGAGGAGCGAACACTTGTACTTTCCACGTGGATGGATCAAAATTTCTGAAAAATAAAAAATACCAAAGATCAATTCCAATGTCGAATCTATTAAAGTAATGATGCCATATGAAAAAAAATGGAAATTAGTATATACAAATAGTTTTTGTATGCGCAACTTATATTAACTTATAATATAACGTTTAACCAGAAATAGAGATATTATATAATCCTCCGGCTATAGAATACCTTATTAAGAACTAGCTTTTTGGACCGCTTCGCGCGGTCCTCATATAGCCTATAATTAAACCTGTTTTAACACAAAAAATTAATTCTTTTGTCTGTATTACCGCGAATTACTTCCACATTTGTGGACCGATTTTCGTGAAACAGGTATTAAAATATTCCACAATGTTCCACAAATATCTAGTAATTCTCCCCCAAAAAATTGCTAAATTTTGGAATGAAAGATGAAAATATGTATTGAATCTTTAAATAAATCCGCAAACGCGTGGATGGGTGCGTGGGTGAGTGAGGGTGTGTGTAAAACAAAGAAAAAACTAACAATAGACATTCCCAAAAAATTTAAGAAATTTTAGTACAATTTCTTGAAAATCGGTTCATAAATGCGCACACGCGTGAGTGGATGCGTGGGTGGGAGAAACTTAAAAAGAACCCACAGCAGCCACCTCCGAAAACTCTGTAACATTTTGATACCAGTTTCACGAAAATCGGTCCACAAATGCAGAAGTAGTTCGCGGTCAGACAGACAGACAAACAGACGGACGGACGGTACTTATATATATAGATGTTGTTACCGGCTCTATAAAATACCTCATTGTTAGATTAAGATGTTTTCTGCTAAATCTTTAAAGTTCGAATAGATTTTTGCGCAGTTTAGTAATTAATGTTAATTAATTTTACATACGTTTACATACGTTTTATCGCTAGTATATCGTAGTTCAACTCTCCCATGTAGTCCTACCAGGACTTGAGGTATAGTAAATACTAGCCGAACTGTATGTTCATCTAGAGCTTCCAGTATTTGCATTATAATTTCATTAGATGAAGGTGCAGTTGCAAATCCAGGTAATGAAAAGCCTGGAGATATAATATTATGGTCCAAACCTATAATACATAATATTAAAAATCAAGAGCTGTTAGACTAAGATAATAGAAAATGTATTTTGTATATGTTTGTTGTATGTATATTATAGAAAGTTCAAATTAAAATGATAAGGCTCCCGAATATAAATACAATTGGAAAACTAAAAGAGCTATTGAGCCAAGCGCTGTTGTTAGAGCGTTTTTTTTTGTTTTAATTGAAATTTATTCAATAAACATGGTACAACGTTTAATTATTTAATGTAAATTTTGATGGCAAATTAATTGTAGTTTTCTGATATTTAAAGTAGTATTAGTTGAATTTCACTTTAATTAGGAAATTAATCATGTATTATATCTGTATTTTTGTAGTTAATATATGTAACTGAAGAGGACCCAGTCAGGGTCGAAACGTTTTACCATGTTTATTGAATTTTCAATTTAAAAATACGCTCTAACAACAGCGCTTGACTCAATAGCTCTTTTATTTTTCCAATTGTATTTATAGAAAGTTATTATGTTTTTACTTAAACCGTTATTTACCTGGCAATTGTGATGATGAATGACTACTACAAATCCATTGTAAACAGCATGGATTAACAGGTGAATGCATCAGTGTTGCCTGATGAGGAGGACACGGCAAATTAGCGGGTGGTAGAGCTGGTACAGGTTTACAAGCAGCTTGACAAGACACATTGCCCATTTCGCAATAACAACGCTTCTCGCAACCAGTGACATTTGAAGGCAATTCGCTCCAATTATCATACATGATTCCTTCATAGTTACAAGAACCATTATTTCTACAGCGTACCTCCTAGAAAAGTTATTATTGGAAGTATCATAGAAATAATAGTAGTGCCACTCTGTATTATACCGGATGTAACTAAACAAAAGTATATACGAAGGCATTTTTTAACCTGAGTTTTATTTTTGACGCTATAAATTGTTAAAGTTTGCCAATTAGCGCGTGGCAACGGAAAACAGCGTAGGCACCGCGTTAGTAGGCGTTCCTTTGTAGTCGCACGTGCTAACTGGTAAACTTTAACAATTTATAGCGTCAAAAATAAAACTCAGATTAAAAAATGGCTCAGAAATTTTCGTTTGTCATCCTACACCAGATAGTGTGCTTCGTATACCTTTGTTTAGTTACACCCTGTATATGATATACCCTATATCACGGATGCCCAACTAGTTTCTTCGAGGGGCCAGATTTCAAATTTTGATTATTGCCAGCGGACCAGATTGATACAAATTAACCCAACGATAAAAAAAAGAACAGAGTCGATTCTTTTTTGTTTATACTCTGTGTCACTTTAAGGCAATAGAAAGATCTCAAAACTTTAGTTTGCGAGAGGTTTTGGACGAGATTGATTTAGCAGCACTTTTAAAAAATATTTTATGCACTACCACAGGTATTTCTATTTAATTAATATTTCTAAATTTAAATATTTTAGAATATACTCGCGGGCTGGATCGATAGGCTGTGCGAGCCGAACGTTGGGCATATGTGCCCTATATAAACTTCTAGGAAAAAATTATTAAAGATCATACCTGAGGACAACACTGTGGTGCCTTTGGTACAAAATTTGCTGGAACTGTTTCCCAATCTAGACAGTGAGGATCCAACACATCCAGTCCAAAGTCTGTGGGACACTCTATTGTGTTACATTCATTCTTGCCACCTTCCGCGCAAATGCAGAAGAAGATGCATTCATCATACCATTCCGCGCCAATTTTATACGACTTTCCTCTGTAATTGCAGGAATTCTTGTCAGACGTTTTCTCGGAAATATTTGTTTTTACCACTTCTGCTGGCAGAGACACCTGTACAACTGGCCCAGTACGACTTCCTTCCGTCACACGAACATAGTATGTGTGCGCGGGTTCCAAACTTGAAATAATACCATCTGTAAAATATATACTATATGTAGTTTTGCCTTTTGCAATTAAATTTTCCGAGATTAACACTAAATTCTGTAAATATTAACGCAAGAAAAATATCGTTATTAAAATATTATGAATACTATTACCAACCTTTATCAGGTTTCTGCTGTCTCCACACATGATTGTTCTGTGAAATCTCTATAGTAACATTTTGAAGATCTTTTACAGACATCTTCAGTTTGATTGCTGTTGAGTTCAACACTTTTACATCTATCAAATGTATATTTAAGTCGATGGTATTGTCCGGTTTAATCTCATGGTCGCCCAAAGTAACATCGCAAAGTGTAATAGTACAACAGGCATCTCTAAAGATTAAATTATATTGAGCATTGTCGTTTTTTTTTTTTTTTTTATGAACTATTCTACTTCATACATTTCAATTGTTTATGATATAGCTAGTTTCATCTGATAAAGATGACTATACCTGGGATCGGATAATACGACGCAGCGTTCATGCTGATTGATTATAGAAACAGTTTCATTTGGTGGACATCTGGGCTGACATTTTAAATGACCACCGGCCTCACAGACGCATACTTCGGAACAGCCATTTTCGATACGTTGTCCTACAGTTACAGTTTTGTTGCCGAATACACACATTTCTTCCGATTTAGTAGCTGCAATAATATATTTTTTATATTGAATAGCTTTTAATAAAAAACGTAACTATAACCATAAAAAAGTATTTTAAAATAATATAGATAGCTTACACCATCTCTGTTGTTGCTTATAAATTATATTAACGAAATATAGATTTATAAATCATAGACTTACTGCTGTCTGTGTTGAACTCAATAACTTTTCAGGATATAAGGAAACGTACCCGAATCTGTGGGACAGAGAATGTGAGCACAACAGGATTCTTCAGTGGTTAATTTTCCTTGACACAAAGAGTCTTCAATATTTTTGTCCTCCTTAATGTTAGGAAAAACACATAATGGCTGGCAATCTATAATTCCATTTTCGGAACATATGCACTTTTCCTTGCAATCTTTAATCAGTTTTTCTCCTACTGAATAAGTATGATTTCCATAGATACACATTTTTGGAAATAAAATCGAAGAAACGTTTATGGTAGTTTCATTGTTTGATGCGATGTATTCTCCACCTGCAAAATGTGTTGTTCGGATTGTTTAGATCTCCATAAAACAGACTGAAAATATTCTTTGATTTTAAAAAAGTGTAATTTATAAACTTTTCCGTGTCTCATAGTATAACTATAATAATTTCAATTAATGTATAATTATGTCTGTACAATTAATTTAAATAATACATATGGGATGTTTCGCGTCAAGCGGGCCAGCTCTCCTTTCAAAAATTAAAGCAACAGAAAAAATTATTTAAGGTCTCAAAATATTCATACACTTATATACTTTCAAATGGAACGTGATTTTTTGAAAAATTCAATATGATGATTCCAATATAGCGCCTAAAATCCTTAAAATAAGTCACGAATAATCGTACAATATCTTTGATTAAAATGCGAAAATTTAACAAATTAACTTGAAAATAATGGAGTATAAGGTTTTCGAGATCATTGATTATAAATCTGAAAAAAATTATAAAATTCAAAATGGCGGCTGTAAGACCAATGATCCTTATCTAAGTAATGGAAAATCACTCGAACCGGCTTGAAAATTATTTCTAAAGTTTTAGAAGTTGTTACAAATCTGCAGTCAAATTTGCACAATTGAAAATAATAAATTTAGTATGGTGGCTTTTACTACAAAAAGACAGATATTGGTGCGAGTTGCTGTTTTTCCAAACTAACATTAAATTTCGGCTTGTGTTGTCCATATTATAGGTCGATAAAAAATGAGTTAAAAGACCTTATGAGCGCCCTTTTTTATAATATTTTTCTTCAGATTCACAAGTAGCAACCTCGAAAATCTTATAATCCATCATTTTCAAGTTAATTTGTTAAATTTTCGCATATTAATTAAAGATATTGTCGCATATTAATTAAAGATATCGTGACTTTTACGGAATTTAGGACTTGAGGCGCCATATTAGAATCATCATATTGAATTTTTAAAAAGGCCACGTTCCTTTTGAAAGCATATAAGTGTACAAATATTTTGAGATCTTAAACGTATTTTTCCATTACGTTAGTTTTTGGAAGGAGAAGTGGTCCGCTTGACTCAAAACATCCCATATATGTATATAATCAAAATTTACTTTTAATGATAATATACCGAAAGCGGGTTGTAAAGACGCTGAACACGATTAATATCGATGATCGGAGTAAAACAAGAGTGCAGAATTGTTCCGCAAGATGGAGTAATTTTTTCGCTATTTTTTGCTGCTTAGAATTACTCAGAAACCTCAACAATAGAAATTTTTACATGCAGGAATATACAGATGCATTTGGCGATTATTGCGTGAGAATCCTGTTTGGAAACGCTTTCATAGACGTACGCAGACGCCTTTAAGATGACAGAAGTCGTGTGATGACATCGATCATTCGGTGAATCTTTGGAAGACTAAGCTTGTCATATTCATTCGAAAATACAAGCTGGGCGCTATAAAAAGATCTATCTTAAGATGTCAGGGTAGCTCCGGTCGGCAAAATATCTAGGGATCATTCTGTATAGGAAATTGACATGGAAAAAAACACCTGGAAAATTAATGTAAGAACAACTTTTTACCTCTGGATATGCAAAAAGGCCTTTGATCTATTAAACTAAGCTTTATTTTTATAACAATACAAATATTAAATAACTTGGGAGATGGACACGGTCATTGCCAAACTGATAGCCTTTCGCCGACTAACGATAAGTGATCTGTTTGGACGAATGTTTAAGTGCCACTCCGAGGTTTTAATAATGAAATAAATTTTGATTGGCCGGATAAATTATTTTAATTCGATTTTTGCTTCTAATTGAGATTTTTCGCGTTGAACTTTATGTTATTTATTTAATTGTATTATTAATGTATTTCGCCTTTTAATTTGACATAATTATCTAAGTTATTTTGACTAATGTATTGTGACTCTTTATTAGAACATTTTTATTTTTTTGCGTACTAAGGAAGACTAAGTATAGTTCGAAACACTTAAAAATTTTAGAGTTTATTGTAATTAATAATATTAGTTTATTGTAATTAGTTTGAAAATTAAAATTTTTCCAAAAATAAAATTTTTTTATTACTTGTTTCATATGACCTAGCAATATTAAATAAGTTATCATTGTATTAAACTAAGAATAATCCATTCGATTTACTCTCTGCTATTGTTTGCCTTTGGCTGCTATATGCTGTATGATATGGTAGCTCAGGGTTCAAAGAGTAATGACAAAGATCACGCTAAAGCATATAAAGGTTCTGATCTTAAAAGAAACCTTGAGTACTTTGAAAACATCGATAGCGACAACAAGAATGCTGCTCAACATCAAATTGTTTCATCAAGTCGTTATAACTACATCAGACTACGTCAGCAGCAAGTTGGCTGTGAGGAGATGGACAACTGGCACCAAGCAGACCAAACTCTTCAATGGAGTATTCTCTCATCCCATTTACCAAATAGGATAGAATAAAATATCATTCATACGCGCTCTGAAAGTTTGTTCAAGATGATTTTGGCAAAGGAATAGTGGAGTCATCTTTTTTATGGTCGGCTCCAAAACTGGCTTAGAGCAGACATTTACTATCGGAAAAAGGAATTAGTGAATTAATTCCATTTAGAAAGTTCGTCACGCAAAAGTAATGGTGACTTTGCGTTGTGGGCAGAACCTGCTCGCCATTAGAAAGAAGAGAAAGCGGCATATGCTCGTATAATCAAGCGGCTAGAGCCCTTGACACTCCAATTTTCACCTCCAGCTGGTGTAGTTGCAGATGTACCTTAGAGCAGTTTACGGAGAGAAGCAAGGTTACTCTGATGTGAGGCACTGGTGCCTGGGCATATTCTGACTTCAGCAACGAAACAGCCAATCAGCTTGCTAAAGCAACTGATGAGATCGGAGCCGGCAGTCGATGTTCCCTGCTGGCCAAACAGAGAAAAAATTGCTCGCTGGTTACAAGATCAGCATTAGGCTTTGTTAAGTAGTCAAATGCAAACAGTCAAGAGTGCTTTTCAGGGATTCTTGCTGCATCAAGGTATTAAGATTTATTAATTTTTTTAATAGTCATTATAAACCTAAATATTAAAGGTAAAAGGCGGGGATAGTGATAGTCACAGACATTCACTAGACACGGCTTTCTCACTACTATTTGCATATGGTATAGACAATATGCCCAACTACACAGGAAATGTGGAACTTGTTGAACTCGCGGTTTTAGTGTTTTGCTTATTCTTATTTTAAATAAAATTTATATAGCACTTCTCGGCTATAACATTTTTCTATAATAAAAACGTAGATATTTGAGAATCGCCAGACAGAATTTTAAAAAAAAGTAAGACTCTTCTCTCGACCGTACTGGCAAATATTATTTATTAAATCACAACGTTTTGACCCTTCTTTAAGTCCTTATCAAGTGATCTAGATATACATAAAGAAGAAATACAGTACAGAGATTAATACAATAAAAAAATTACTTCACTTAACAATATTACAAAATAATAAAAAAAGCAAAACATACTTGTGAAAATAAAAATAAAATTATAATTTTAAGATGTCAAGAACCTGGATAACATAAAGAATCTAGAGATTAATCACAAAAACATTCCGAGTGATTTACTAGAAACCACCAGAATTTCAGTTGCTGATTCTTTTAAAAATTTTTATGTGAAATAAACACATTTCTTCTTCTGACAGGCACATCTTACAAGGTTTTTCGCTCTGTAAAAAATTTCTACGTGATAATGAAGATATTTTTGTCACCAAAGCTGATAAAGGTCAGATCACCGTAGTAATGAATAAAAATAATTATTTAGAAAAATGGAATCGTTATTGAATGACGAATCCACTTACAAAAAACTGAAGAAAAATCCTATCAAACAACTAACTATAAAGACTAACGCCTTAATAAAATCTTGGCGAGATAACGATTTGATTGACGACTCCACGTATAAGTCATTAAATATCACTAATGGTAATTTACCACGTTGTTATGATCTGTCAAAGGTTCACAAAAAAGAATTTCCTCTAAACATCATTGTATCTTCATTAGGTAGTCCAATATATAATATTGCTAAATATATTCATAATATTTTACATAGTTCTAATTTGTTACCGAAATCTTACGTTAAGGATGGCTAAACGTTTTCCGCAAATTTAAAAGATAAAATTATTGACGATAATAATACTTTGATTTCTTTAGATGTGACCGCTTTATACACTAATATTCCAAAAGAATTGGTTTTACGCGCTATTGAGGAACGATGAAGTGACATTTCTCAAAATACAAATTTCAGTCTTGCTCAGTTCTTATATGCCGTCGAATTTACTCTAGATTCTACTAGTTTTAGCTTTAATGAACAATATTACGAACAAATCTTTGGTAGTCCCATGGGATTTTCTCTCTCACTCATCTTGGCAGATATGGTGATGGATGATCTCGAAACACATTATTTAAGTCAACTTACAATTAGTTTCAATGTTCCGACTTATTATAGATATGTTGACGATATTTTCGCTATTACTCCAAAGACCAAAATCCACGAAATAATTAATACCTTTAATAATTATCACCACCGTTTAACCTTTACATATGAGACGGAATCAGACGGATGTATTAATTTTTTAATACAACGATCTCTCGGTCAAATGGAAAGCTTGTAACAAATTGATACAGGAAGAACGCGTGTTCGAACAGATATATGAATTTCTTTTCCAATCACTTTTAAATATAAATGAACACAATTTTTAATCTTGTAGATCACGCGATTCTCTTATCTAATGATCAGTTTCACGACGAGAATATTAATATCGTGAAACAGATTTGATTTAATAACTGCTTTCCTAAACATGTAATTGATCGTTGGGTGAATAAAAGGATTAATTTTTAAAACACAGAAACATGAATGAATCGAGTAATGAGCGAAATATTGTTGATAAATCTCCTTTCATTTCACTACCTTATGTTAATAGCTTAGGCGATATCGATCAAATTTTTAAAACATCGGATTTAATGTTGTTCATAATATTCCTAAAAACCGAATCATTTAATTACACTCGGCAAGAATAGACTGCCTATAGATAAAAAGACTGAAGTAGTTTACGAAATTAATTGTAATGATTGCAACGTGTCATACATCGGACAAACAAAGAGACATCTATGTACACGTGTAAAGGAACATTTCAGCAAAATGCATTCGAGTAATTTATCAGTTATCAGCAACCATAAAATTGAATTCGATCACGATTTTGACTGGACTTCGCCGGTTATTTTGCACAGAGAAAAACACGTAAGAAAAAGAAATCGCTGAAATGTTTTTTTATTAAGAAAATAATAACGCTATTAATTTACAAAAGGATACCGACAATCTAAGTATCTAAGAATATCTACGACAAAATAATAAAGGTCGTTTAGTCTCTCATAACTCGTCTAAAAGTCTTGATGTGTTGTCAAACCGACACTATGTTCGTTCTTGACATCTTAAAATTATAATTTTATTTTTATTTTCACAAGTATGTTTCGCTTCTTTTTATTATTTTGTAATATTGTTAAGTGAAGTAATTTTTTTTATTGTATTAATCTCTGTACTGTATTTCTTTTCTATGTATATCTAGATCACTTGATAAGGACTAAAAGAAGGGTCAAAACGTTGTGATTTAATAAATAATATTTGCCAGTACGGTCGAGAGAAGAGTCTTACTTTTTTTTTTATTTTTCTATAATATTTACCTTCGGTATCCTTATCATCATCATCCATGCTGACATCGCTAAGATCCGTGATATTAGTATGTAATGAGTTCGTTGGTTCCGGAGAAGAAATGTTCAAGGCCCTGGCTCTCAATAATGTCTCTTCTGTAGTTTGAATCTCCATCGTAAGGTTTGTTATATTCTGGGCAATAAGATTGATTTGCGTAGATGTGGATAAGTTGATTGGTGTCGTGTTTATCATAGCAATTATCGGTTCTCCATGAAGAAGAAATGGAATCAATATATTTGTGACATTATGGATTTTGTTGTCATTGAAGATTGATCCATCTTCATTGGAGTCATCGTGGATGAAATTGGTAACATGGTTAGGGTCTCGGAATCTGCATTTTTTTTCAAATCATCATCTCTGATGAAAGATTTTTGGTACTTCTGATCACTTTTGTTTTTAAGTCTACAGGTTTTTTCTTTGCTTCAATTGTGGCCTTAACATCAGCTTCTTTTGTTGAATACGCACTTTTCAATTCTGTTATATTATTTCGCCATTCTGTTTGAGATAGTTGTGCTGTTGGGATATCTTCACTATTGATATCTATGAACAAAAAGAATATAATGTTTGAGAAATATTCAAATATTCAGTAAAATTATTAACTATTTTGCTTCTTTAAATATAATAAATTTTTAATACATTTTGTAAAATTTGGATAAAAAGTATAGAAATAAAAACATTGAAAATCTTCCTTTTGTTAAATCTAAATTAGAACAAATATTTAAACAGAAAAGTAATTTGAAAGAATTCTAAAATATACATATATAAAGATATGTATAATCTTATTCATTCATATTTATTCGCTACATAATGTAGAAGAAACTAGAAACGCTGCCATAATAATATAAGACTTAATTAGCTTTAAATATGTTTATTATATTGTGTATTAAGTTCAGGTCTTTTTAGGAATTGCGAAAATTTCAGAAAAAAACTAAATCCATAATTTATACAATTATAATTAATTTTATTTTATATAAAGGTTAATGTTTATAGAAGTACAAAGGCTTATTTTACTTTTATTTAATATAAGACAGAATTGCTGGAAAATCTCATTAATTGTAACACGTCGTGTCACAGACTAATTAAAAATGACCCCGAGATGCATCCGTTAATTCTATTCTTATTTTAATAAATAGATCCATTTTTGAGGAGAAGTTGCAATTTCTCCATTGAAATTAAATGCTTTATTAAATATTTTTTTAGAATGTCTTTATAAGTTTTTAAAATGCTGATATTATTTTGATATTTGAAAACGCTTTTTGTTTTTCTATTTTACAGTACAAAATATCCTTAAATACTATTTATAATATTATAGTAAATTTAACTATAGTAACTTTTCGCATTAACTTTTTTAACTTTTATACTTTATTATACTTTAGTAATCATATTATTTTATACATAAAGTATTGAGATAAGATAATCGAAAAATGAATATTTTATGAGATATTTTATAGCTTATGTAAAATTATGTCATTAAAATACATACATTAAAGTACAAAATATTTCCTAAACTATTCACTTTTTGATTGTCTAACTCTTATAACTTTTTACGCTAAATATTGCAAGGAATCGATTTATATATAAAAAATTATAGTGGTTCCATTAAAAAAAATAAAGACCTTGAAATTACTCTTATTTGACCTCCAGGTCAAGATCAAGGTCACTACCAAGTGTCCCATTTTGAGTCCGGGACTTTTTCCTCTGTATATTTAATAAAGTAAAAATGTTTTGTATAAGTTGGACTCTTTTCAACAAAGTGCAGAAATCTATCAATTATATTGGTCTAAAATTAAAATATTAATTAATTAAAAAATATTGATTAATAAAAAAATTGGACCTCCATCGGTTTGTTATGATAAAATCAAAATTCATCATTTACGATTTTCTCAGAATTTGTGAGAAGAATTGAAAAATTGAAGCCAAAAAACATCTACAGAAAAACGATTATAATGAAATGACGAATAATATAAAATATATTTTTTTTAATATTACTAACTCACTTCTTCATTTTTCTTCCCTTCCCTTTTTCCATTTCTTTTGCCACCTTTGCATTTCTCTACTTCTGTAGCCCCATTCTCTTTTCTTCTTTTTAAATTTCTCTTCATTACTATCTTGTTAACATTTTTCCTTCCTTCTCCTACACTTCTTATTCATCAGTATTTTTCTCAACGTATTTCCATACGTCTCTCATTCTCACACATTTTACATTTTCTTCTATCCTTTTGCCTGAATATTTACTTTCTCTCATTTCATTCTTTAGTCTGAACTTCGCTATCCTTCTCCATCTTATTACCTTCATTTAGCCATATGTATCACGTTCGCATATTGTTTGCGAAGACTCGCAAAACCTCTTATTGTGTGAACAAATAAATTAGCAAATGTATTCTTTTACTATAAAGTAAAGTAGGAAAGTGTCTTTACTTGCTTTAGTGCAATTAGTGCATTGATTCTTTTAGGGGTACGAATTTCGAAAAATCTCTTTCTTTTTGATGACTATGTAGACACAATAATATGTTTGCGACCTAAGAAACTCTTAACCCCTTAAAAAATGGATTTATTAAGCTCGGAAAAAATATTTTTTTTTTTTTAATTATTATACATTCAAAATATATATATACATATATATAGTTAAATAATTATTTAAAAAACAAGAAAAATTTTTAAAATTTTAAATACTGAGAAAAATAACATAGTTTACAACCAAGAATTACTTTAAACCAAAACAAAGTATTTCTTATAGATTGGGTGCTGAAAACGATTTTGAGTGCCACAAACCAAATTTCACTAACACATCAAATTTCCAAAATAATTGAGATTTAATGTATAAAAAATAGTCTTTTTACGATATTTAAAATGTTTTGTAAAAAAAGTTAACGTAGTAAATGCATGCATTCATTCCTCATAAAATGCATTTTTATTTTCTTTTTTATTTTATATTTATTATTATTATTATTTTATTATTATTATTATTTATTATTATTTTATTTCATATGTTTTTAATTTTAATATCTTACTTAAACTTTAGCAATGTTATGAAAGATTAAAAATAAAATTATCAGGGTTGGGTAATAACTACTTAATTCGTTAAAAGTTAAAAAAAATTAAAAAGTTAATAACTTTTAACTTAGCTTAGTTAATTTAATGTTATTTTTTAACTTCAACTAGTTAATTTTGACCTTAAACTTACAATATTAACTTTTTTCCTAAGTTAAATTTTTTATCTCTGAATACCATTATTGTTTTTAAGTTATAAACGTGTATTATTTTTAAATTAAAGTATTATTAATTTTTATGTCTACTTGTCACCAATTGTAATTACCAAAAATATATTTGTATATAAAAATCAAAATTTCTTGTTATTTGTTACTACTAAATTTTAAAAGAATTAACAAACAAAATTCTAATTCAATATAAATAATGTTCTTAAAAATTAACTTTTGATTTAACTTCAATTAATTTAATTTTAACTTAACTTTAACTGAATTAATTTTTTGTCCATGCAACTTTTAACTTAGCTAAATTAATTTTATAAACAATTAACTCTAACTTAACTTAATTTTAAAAATCATTAACTTATATATACCCAATCCTGGATACATATATTATGCGTTAAGATTAACTATTTGTGAAAGGATTTCATTCACTAAGACTAAACATACACATATGCGTCGATATCATCCTTGAAAAGGTTAAGTTTAAGTGTTTTTATACAATTAAAACACTATTTAATAAATCCTTAGAGAGATTGTTTCCCAGTCGTTCCCTAGTTCTCACCATGCGGTGCGAAAGGTAAACGAAATAAAGGAAAGAGATATCTCCGCATCTCGCTCTAATGCTTCTCATGCGGAAAACAATAGATTTTTTCGCTACTACAAAGGACGTACTAGTTCCTGAACAAGAATTCCTGAAGCCTAATTCCTAAGAATCTCTCTGTAATTCATGAATAAAAAAATATTCACTTTTATTGATATTAAACTTCCCTAAGTAGCAAACTCGCGTCAATTAGACATCAGAATAATGTCAATTTGATATCTAATGACGTATGCTTGCTACCTGAGTCTTTTTTCATCTATATTTTAAACCATACGAATTTATATAATAACATGAATCATCGATATATTTCGATGAAAGAACATTTTATTTCATAATTTATAACATATTTAATAATATTTTAATATAAAGGATTATATATATATATATATAGATCGGACACTAAAAATCTCGAAAAGTATACGTATTACACAGAAAAAAGTTATAGAATTGCCGAAAAAATTCTATTTATTAATCTTATCAGTTTGACCTTCGACGGCGTCACCAGGTCAGAATAAAATCACTCTGAATTTCTTAAATGGAACTTTATATTTTTTATTACATATTCTTGTAGCTTGCCTCAAGAGCTTTTCAAAACACTATAATTAAGTTATTTTTTATAAGGTACTTTCCGAGTTACAAGGCTTAAAAGTTATATTATCTAACCGCCAGCATTAGCGTTATTTAAATGAGAAACCCTATTTTTTACTCCAAAAATTAAATAAATCGATAATTTTACATGTTTCGACGTGTAGTCGTGTTACGAATCAACGTATTCCTAAAAATTATTTGAAAATCGAACTCATATTGTTTAAGATGAGTTGGTGAATAAATCATTATAATATTATTAAGATGAAATCTAATAAAAGCAACATGGTTTTTAGGGATCACATTCAAAGTACTTCTACAATGTAGTTGAACTACATATTAGATGTAGATTACAGAATGTTGTACCATTTTGTATGATATCACAAACTAATTATTTATCGCAACTGAATCTTGTCGTAAACATTAGTATGTTCATTGTTGTGATCTCTTGAATTAATGAAGGGTTTTCTGTATTTTCAACATCCTTACATACGGACTCTTTCTTCCATCGTTTTCATTTTTGAAATTGTTTAGAATCAAGAGACACGGTAGTGTCTCGCGACCAGTTAAGGGCGTAGCGGAGACACCGTGTATCTTCACGCGAGTCGGACATTTGAGTCTTTATAATAATTTCGAATCCTCAATAATGGCTGAAGCAATCGAGTTTATACTAGACTTAATCGATAGATTGAGTTGAATTATATAATAAAAGTGTCTTTATTTCTGCTCTATGATTTGTAAGCAGAGATATATAAATGCAAAGTCGAAATATGAAAATTTCTATTAAGAAACGTCCCCGTCATCATTATCATCATTATCATCATTATCATCATCATTATCATCATTGACCACGCATACATAGTAGTATCGTGCTACACGTATTCACACGTATACAACACATGCGCACACATATATCACACGTACACAACACATGCAAGATGCATGTAGTAGTAATTTTGTCCATCTCGCACGTTTTACAACAGATGGCGATAGTGGCGCTCCGCCATATCGGCAGCGTGCGGGGTTATGTTGCTAA